GTGCTGATCCACTGTTGAGATGCCGAAATCTGAGGTTTCAACAAGTTCTCCAGTTGTTGATAGGGATGTGAGAGGATCGATAAGGCGATGCTTTTTTAGGTCTATCATCAACCCAAAGTGAACAATAAAATCAGCCCCTATGATTGCAGACTGTACATCCGCAACGATGAAGGGCCAGGAGAATGCTCGACGAAGACCAAGGTTGAGTGTAATCGGCTGAAGTCCGTAAGTTGCAATACTAGTAAAGTTGGCAGTGAAGAGTTTGAAGTCTGATGGTTGTAGTTTTTGTCTGACTAAGGTTCGTGGTAGCACTGATACGACGGAGCCAGAGTCGACGAGGAATCTGGTGTGTGAAGACCTATCGTAAACGTGAAGACGCTACTCTTTGATGGACGGAATGACCTGAGCGCTGCCGCCAACCGCCTGGACTGACGACAGCTCAGTTAGTTTCCCTGATTGGATGGTATCCACGCACAAGGCTGGAGGCACTTGGCGGCCCTGGCACCGAATATCTGATGATAGAAGCAGTGGTATGGTGGTCCTGGAGTTCGGGATCGTGATCGAGATTGTGATCTTCCACCTGTTAATTTAGCAGTCAGGCTGCTGATCGATGCTGGTAGATTTGCTACCGTCCTCTCGAGCTCACTCAACCTCTGTTCGCCCGTAATGTTGCTGGCCTGTCTCTGATAGGGAGTGTGACTGGCTGCCATGACCTGACCCTGAGCGAGCATGGGCTGGGTGGAGGATGCGAAGGCCTGTGTGTTGAAAGGCATGGACAGCTGAACACTGGGCGCCATGGGCTGATTGTTGAGAGCTATGGACTGGAAGCTTGTTGACAGAACCTGGGAACTGGTGTGATTCTCCATGACGCTGTCGGCTGCCTCAGCAAGCTGATCGAGAGTGGAATTGTTTGCGACAAACTTGAGAATATTGGCCACCATGACAGGTAAGAGGGCCAGCCACCTGCTGCGAAGAAGCTCTTTACTAGCTTTCGTCCCAGTAAGAGTTCTCATCTCTCTGAGGAGTTGACTTGGTTTTTTTGTGCCTAGCTGCATTTCTGTCAAGAGTTTGTATAGCTGGCGATCAACTGATTCAGTGAAACGCTTGAGGAGCATGGCCTTAAAATTTTGGTACTTATCTGCAGGCGGTGGTGCTCTGAGAATGTCGGACATCTCCTTCAGGACATCAGAACCTAGGGCAGCAACCACGGCTCCTTACATCGTTGCGTCACTTCTGATGTTTTTTGTGGAGAACAGGGCTTCGATGTTGATGAACCATAGCTCGGGATCATGGGACCAGAAATCTGGGAGTTTGAACTGCGTGACAACCATGATCTGAGCCTCAGTGTACTGCAGTGATTGCTGTGATAACAATTGTTGTTGCTGTTGCTGTGCCAACGATTGTTGTTGCTGCCGCTGTAGTAATGCTTGTTGTTGTTGCTGTTCATCTAGTTGTAGTGTCAAATCACCCTGATTACCGGATGGCGAGTGGGTGAGCGGCATGACTCTGTCGATGCGGCGACTCGTACTCGATGGGGTTTACCTCGTGTAGAAACGTAATCTGTTGAGATCACGTCGGGGTCACCAATTTAGACTTATTGGAAGGTTCCCCAGTGTAATTGAATCACTACAGTTAGCAACAGGAATAATATTTATTATAATAATGTAATACTAATAGTACAAATAGACTTTGGAATGACTTGATATCGAGTGCTACACGTGTAGCGTTAGAATAGAGGCTTTGGAATAATGGCTTGTTTCCGTGGGCGACGTTGAGCAGCTGTCGCGGCTTGAGGTTGATCGAGGCGCTGCCTCGAGGTCGAAGTGGGGACTAGCGGAGGCGGAATCGCCACAGCTCTAAATTCGGGTGTGCCACCTAGCGGACAGAAGGGATACTACAGTTGTAATGTACTCGAGCGAGGACTTCATATAATTACAATCGAACGTCACTTACACGTAAGTTAGTTTCATCGCCCAATTAAAATTCATTACAGCAGCGAGTGATACTACGATTACGCCTGTGAATAGCCCCTCGTACTCAATAGATTCCCATACTACAAAAACAATAGAAATTCCATGTCCTCAAGTATGTGTCATTCTGCGCTCAGAGTGTTCTCACACGGCTCAGCAGTAGATGGAGATAGTGTTTTGAACGTGTTTATAATATAGCGATATCGGTGCATATTAGGACAGGCTGGTTAACTCCGTACTTGTGCGGTTAATATTAAATAGTTATTCAAATTTAAGCAATGGAGAATTCTTTTCAGCTGCGGGTCGTGCGGGTTACAATCTATATTCAAGATAATGACGTATTACACTTCGATGCAATGTATATCAAAATTTTGTATTGATCTCCAATATAAATAGGAGATGTCATACGTTTATTCCTAAATGTCTGAAAGACAAATCGCATGCATGATGATGATACTACTTTGGTTGATGATGTTGATGATGTTGATAATGTTGGTGTAGATCGTCGGAGAGATGTTTTCAATCACAGACCATTATATGGGGCTTTTTCGAGAGTTCGATCATGAGATCCATTGTAAGTTTTCACAAAGAAACAATGAAAAAACGCCAAAGTCAAAAATTATGTCTACAAAGAGTTGTATGTTTGAGTAAATGGCAGGGGAGGGGAGGGCAAAACGGACCACTGACAGAAAATTGATCATTTTTTTCCCTTCAAATCAGGAACACTGAGTGTGTTAAATTAAAAGGGAGTATCTTAGATCGTAACCGTCACAAGGGGTTTATAGACAACATGTGTCGTTGAACCGCAATTTTATCAGATTTCCTAATCACCTCAAACCACAAATGACTTCGAATTCGCTTCATTTGGAAGCAAAAACAAAAATTATCAATTTTCTGTCAGCGGTCCGTTTTGCCCTCCCCTCCCCTATATATATATTTATATATCTGTATAAGAGGAACCGACTTGATCGTATTTAGTATTCGAGATATTCATGGTTTTCCATCGATAACGCCTGTACCCTACTAGAAATTTCACTCGGCAAACCTTTCAGCCCTGGTTCGGTATGCCGAGCCTTCGGTATGTTCGGTGCTGATGTGGTCAACCGAGTCTGGCCCGGATACAAAACGTTACGCGCTTTTATTATCCGGGCCGGATCAGGATTGCCGCATGCCAGCCGAATTATGGAAGCCATTTAAAAAGAAAAGAATTATAATTGATCTAATTTGTACTTTTCTATTGATTATGGATAATTCAATGTTCACTTTCGAAATAATTCCCAAAACTTTCAACTGACACCCGTCCAAATCTATATGCGCAAATATATACGTGGTTGATGACTAGACTATCCATTATAATTTCGAATAATGTAAAAGAAAAAAAATAACTATTTGCTAATTGATTTTATCATTTATTATTGATTAGTCTTGAACCCCTGAACGCATTTATCACTGAACAATCCATTTTTTTTAACCTAAAATATTCCGCACACGACTGGTTTCGAACCCGGGACCTACAGATTACTAACCCTACACCTTAGCCGACTAGCGTACCGCGCAATTCGTATATTGCCCAATTCGTACTGTCTATGTAAATCACAGGCTTCATATGCATCATTCTATCATTTTTTTCTAACATTTGTATGATTCAACCTGATAATAATAATTATGAATCCATCGTCTTCCCCCCCCCCCCTTCCCCCCACCTACGACAAAGGTTCGGCAAATATTCGGCAATCGGCAAGGGTCTTATCAGATTATTAATTAAGGATGTCGCAGAGATGCACATCACTTTTTTTTGCAGAAAATGTTCAAGAGCAACACGTTTATGGAAAAAAAACAGTAGAACTTCATTTTTCTATAAAACTTTCTCCATTATTTTCTTTAGAAATCCCTCGACATGAATTTTTCAACTGTTTTCTACTCGATTTATTTTCTCTTTTAATTGAGAAAATCCAACAGACGAAATTGGAAAATTTGAGCTGGGAAATTTCTATAGAAAATATTTCAATGAAATACATTGTATAGAAAACCCGAATTCCATTTTTTTATAGAGTATCGTCCTAAGCTGTGGGAAGTTCCGATAGAAATCGGCGGAAAACTCATTGAAAATTGGATAGAAATCCAATTGAATTTTCTCACAAATTCGGCAGGATGTCTTATAGTCTTTTTTCGTATATGTCATGAAAAATTCAATCTAAATGATCGCATTTTCGGAAAATTCACATGTTTGACATATTCAAGATATCCCGAATATATTGACCTTGCCGAATCAGGCCATGATTAGGCCCCCACCAGATTGCCGAATCCATGTCAAAACTATGTTGATGTTAAGTATCCATGAAATATTTATTTACACACATAGTTATTTGGGCCTTTCATAAATGCTTTTTTCCGTACTACATACTGAACTTAACCTCCACCGAATTTGGCGCGAGCCTCGTAGGTTGTTAGGCATACCGGATGGGGTATGCCGTGTCTGGTTCTCATAAGGCCCTGATGAGTCAGACCTTATCCGGCATGCCTAACAAAAACCGAAACTCGCGCCGAATCTGGTGGAGGTTAGATTCGGCATGCCGTATGTAAATTCTAGTAGGGTATAAATCAACGTTGAAGTTTTCATGGATTTCGACGTATCTTCGCCCGATTCTCGATGGAAATTTCGATCCCTTTTCAATAATAAAAATTCATGGATTTTCAAAAGAAGTTTTAATCATTTCCCACGAATTTCTCCTTAGTATTACTATAGAAATTTGTATACGTGGCATAACATTGATTCAAATCAACTTCCAATAATAACGTGATAAATCATATAAAATCAATCATAGTGACAGGCGCGCGGAGCGCGCCTTTGATCTCCTATAAAGAAGAATCGGATAACGCGAATTAGAGGGGACCAATACAAACAGGCAATAATGACCATTCAAATGGAAACTATTCATTTCAGTAAAAAAATATATATATATGTATACGTAAGGGTAAGGAAATAAATAACTCTCTATTACTCGGTTACATCACATTAATTAATTCCAGGTGACTTCAGAGGAAGATGTGCAACAAGCATTAACACAAGTTAAAGAGCAATTTGGTGGTATCAATGTGGTGATCAATTGTGCAGGCATTGCAATAGTCCATCACCCGTATGATTTTGAAACCGAAACGGCACATCCTCTCGAGATCTACAGGAAGGTGATGGACGTCAATGCTCTGGGGACGTTTAATGTCACGCGGCTAGCGGCCGGCGTGATGGCAGCGAACATGCCTGACGAGAATCAGCAACGTGGCCTCTTCATCAACATTGTAAGTATCTGGGCCCACGATGCTCCGTCCTGTGGGGTGGCTTACGCTGCCAGCAAGGCTGCAGTCCGAGGCATGACTATTCCACTCGCAAGATCTTTTGCGCCGAAGGGTATTCGTGTCGTGACCATAGCGCCAGGATATGTGGACACTCCTATGGCAAGTAAGGAGTATTTTCCATTTCGGCCAATCAGAGGGCAGCACAGAGAAAAAAAATGGATTAGCTTTAGAAAAAATTCTCTATCTTTTAGAAACAGTGGTTTATAACCTTCAGGTTTCTAATATCTAGAAATTTTTTTCCAAGTGTTAGAAAAAAATCGGTTAAAATTAATGATCAAAATTAGGATTATTTTTAAACCAAAATATACTTATTCTGTATTATCCCCGGGCTATTTTACTCGATCAAACCTTAGAGGTTTTTAAGGTACAAATTACATGGAAAGAATCTGGCCGACTCTGTATACAAGGGAAACAATTAAATAATTAACAATGCACAACTTAAAAAATTCGGAGTCACACAAACAAAAAATTAAGGGAGATAATACAGAATATGAACATACCGGTCGAAATAACATCTCTCATTGTAAAATATACTTAATTTTAGAAAAAATATTTCCTGAAATCAAGAAAATTTTTTCAATTTTTGAGGGGGAATTTCGCAAAGAGAGGGGTTGTGATATCCGGGAGAGGCTTGTGAAGAGGGCAAAGAGGGGTGTTTTATGAAAAGGTGGGTTATCGTTGGGGTTTTTCAAAAATCTCTCTAAACTAAGGGAGATAGCGAATTTTTACGAAAATTTGGGGGGGAAGGGGTAGTGTGCATTGAGAATTCACAACCAAAAAAATTGAGTCGGTGAGTTTTCAAAAAATATCTCTCATTGTCCCGTTAAATGTATTCGATGACCCTATATAATACATTTTGCTGTAGCGAAAATTATTGCAGTTAATGTTTCTCCTCCTTGGGCATTAATTAGGTATTGTCCTGACGCTCAGTACTCAAGATTTTGTGACTATCAAAATTCGCACATATCTCATTATATGACGGACGCTTTGGAAAATAGCTAATAGTTTCGAAGCATTCGAAACATTACTCTACCGAATATTGAGTGAATTTCTAAGTTTATTAACCTCTTGCAGTTGAACGTCGAAGGAATGAGGCTCTGCATAAGATCACCATCGCGGGCCTCTTGACCCCGAAACGTATGGCATTTCCTGATGAGATAGCTCATCTGGCTCAATGTATCATTGAAAATCCGTACATCAATGCGGTAAATATGGAGATTAGTGGAGGTTTTCACTATATCAGAACGAAGGAGGAAATTTGATGTAATGTTTCCGTTGATACTGAAACTAAAGAATTTCGGAAGACATAAGATGAAAAGATTGGTACCTTCGAGCTTCATAGGTGTGTATCGAAATACACAACCTTGAGCTGATCGCGTGAGTGCTTTATTAGCATTGGACTACCGAGACACTGATTAACCATAAACGCCACTAATTTTTACTACGTCTATAGTACTAGTAGCAATCATTCAGCTTGGTGTAATTACTGTATATGACTCTGCGACTTTAGCTATCTCTGATGCAGGGATCACTGCAAAAATTAATGACTGAATTTCAGACATTTTTATAGACACTTTTCAAACACTTTTGGGACGATTTTGTAGATAATTTTGAGACATTAAAATGTGTCTGAATCAATAGAGGTATTTCAATTGCAGACACTAAGATGTCTGAAATTAAGATACACGCATCAGTTTCAGATATAAGAGGTGTTCGAAATTTTCAGACATCAGTTAGATTTTCAGACACTTTTAAAGATTCAGACGTTTTTTGCCATCTGCCATCTTAAATTCAGATGGTTGTCAGACACCTAGTTTTTGCAGGGGATGAGTGGAACTTTTCAGACATGAGAAATATCTTAAGAGTTAATGTTTGAATGGACTTTGCCGTCTGAATCAGGTGAGATATGTTAATAGTGAAATGTTTGAATCGCTCATGAATAAATGAATTTCAGACAGAAAATATCTGAAAATAAATACCTGAAATTTTTCAGACACAAAAAATGTCTACCATCATTTTCAGACAGAAATGCTGGTTGAAATTTTCAAGCATTAGTCACATTTTGAGACACTTTTGAAGATGCAGACGTTTTTTACCATCTGATATCTTAAATTCAGATAGCTATCAGATACCTGGTTTTTGTAGTGATGTTATTCAATCTTTAACGTTGTAGAATTCTCTGTCCCCGGAGAAGAAAAGCTAATATGAGTAACAGAGTAATATGCGTAAAGCTGACTCATATTATATAACGATATCATATTGTGCACTGAAGGTAAAACGTCATGTTTTTTACCCCCGAGGTGGACATACGATTTTTCAATACGCTTACAGAAAAATGTTCCATTTTGCTCGCCGAGGAGTGGGAGACAAGTACTGACCTCTCGCACTGCGGCAGGAAGTGATCAGTACTTAGCACCATAGGGTGGAAAGTATTTACTTTCCTCATCAGCAAGAAAAGTACGAACTTGCTGGGCAGATGTGTGGAAGTAGTATATTGTGCAGCAATTCACACCTACCCGAGTAGACATTTCATTCCGGCCCGAATAGGAGACATCAATAAAACTCGATATTGATCTGAAAGAATTGAGTGAGTAGTAAGGAAATAGCAGATTTCGTCATAAGGCTGAAACAAACTTATCTGGCGACTATGAGGTTGCAGCCCCTCTAGTAGAAATTCTGACCGGCAGGACGACATCAGGGATGCGAAAAAATTACATGACACATCACTGACCACTCATATGACACGTCAGTGACGGTCATGTGACACGGCCAGCCATGACAATTTATTGTCACATGACACAAACGTGACTGTTTTACACCGTGACCGTCACATCCCTTCTAATTACTGGCACCCCAGCTGGAGGCAACTAGTTCGAAATTCAAAAATTCCCCATGATTACCTCCATGGATGGACAATCACAAAGCATCAACATGTGTATCAGTCGTATTTCAGTTTAGAAAAGAAAAATCAGTGGCGAGTTTATTGACAAAGTGTCATTTTTCTTACTGGGAACGGTCGAACAGTTGAAATCAATGAATAAAATAAATGATTTCTCACTAATTGTCCATCATAATTTTTGACATGATATTCATTTGAAAATTACACACAATTTTGAAACCGGATATTCTACGGAAATTTTCATTCTACGGAAAAATTAATTCCAGATTCAAGATCCTCTCCCTGATGGGCACGTTGGCAAGTAAACCCTTGCACCAAAAAACCGATACAATTTGACAATTTTTGACAAGATTTTGCAACAGAAAAATTTATGACGGTCACATCACATCTAACTAGTTGATTATCATATATGAGTCAACAGGGTAACCCAAATTATGATATAAAAAAACGTGACGTCACATGACGGTCACATGACAAAAGGCAATTGACCAATCACGGAACAGAACCATAGTACACATCGCTGTGAGCGCGTCTTCATAATCGCTGCCCAGGTCTCGTATATTGGGCGCGGTAGTGGGGACGTTCCGTCATTAGCCACTCGTATGTTATACGAGAGTCGCCCCTGGAAAGTCTGGGCGACGGCGCTCGGCCATTTGATTTTTACTAGGGCCGCGCCGAAAGCGAGTATTCGAAGATGAATATAATGGTTGCAATTACATAAGTTATAAATCATATAAGTCATAAAAAAAATTTAAGCCATGTGAAGAACAATATTTTGTGTCATAACGGCCGAAGACAGCGATTGGGCGTTCGTGAAGCTCTGCCGTACGGCCGGAATAACAAAAAGCTTGTTTTGATTTAAGGGTAATGCCAATCTTAAGAGTCGAGCTATCTGCTTTTAACAGCATTTAATCTGGATCTCGTTATGTTTTGGCGACCAGGACAGAATTAGAAAGGGTCTGAACCTTATTAAATGTCGACTCGGGTAACTTGTTCAGTTATTAACTAATCCTTAACTATTATTTAATGCTCTACCATTTTAACACACGATGAAAGAAGTCGTAGAAAAACAATCTAGAAAATTTCGGCAAATTTTACTGTATGAAATAAAATGGTGGAGCAACGTATTTTGAATTAAAAATACTTTGGTGGGCAATATCTTACGCTTCGTTCCGTAAAAAATGATATCTGTGAATGCCGACATTTTTTTTCCTCATACAGTAAAATTTCCTGCATCTGCACAGTATTTTTTTTCTAGCAACAATGCAAATGACATGGGAACAGATGTAAGTAAAAATCGGCTGTACAGTGTTTGCCAGTAGAAAAATTCTTCTCTGTTGAAACAAAAATCCTACACATTCAGCAATTATTTACTTTCGCTGGAGTAATTTTTTATAGAATTTTGAATAAAAGCGGAGAAAAAAATTCACCATTCGTTTAACTTTCTATTTCCTCAATATATTAAGTCAAAACGACGTAGAACTGAATTTCGCCCAACAATTACTCGATTTCTTTGGTGATTTCTCCCCCACTCTTTTCTGTGCATAGTTTCAAATATAATAATAGTGGCAATTGGGTTCATGGCAGTTCCTCAGTAGCTCAGTGGTAAAAACGCTATCCGAAGAGTGAGATTAGATGATCGCTTATACCCACCCGAATGAAAAATCTGCTCCGGGCTCCAAATTTTTCCTTCATTTGTAGTCTCAATAGTTTCACAGTCTTAATGTTACTTCCTATCAAAAGGACCATGTAGATGTATATTACCATAGTATATAACCATGTATGTACTCCTGAAATAATAAAAATTTGACCAAATTTGCTTGTTCTTCAGGCATTATTACTCCTACTGCTAGAAAAGAATGAAAACTCACCGGATGATGGCGTGCTTTTGCGTGCGTATGTTCCTCGAAGCATGATCTTAACAATTTAATAACTTTAAGCTCGACTGATTTGTGCTAAACGGTATCTTGCACTCAACATTCCCATTGATCAGCACAGAGAAGAAAAGGTTCCTAGTTTTCAGTAAAAATGTCTACATTTCAGTACTTTATAATATTGAAACCTAAGGGGAAAAAAACCTGGTTCTGATTTCAAAATTTTCTTTCTTAACCTTCCTTACTCCTAATCACGTGAAGTAATATTTTAATTTTCTGAAGGGTTGTTGATGTCAAAACTCAACGATACGGATTTAAGGACTTTTCTCACTGAAATTAAATCAGTTTATGGTACTAAATTCCAGAGATTTTTTCACTGAAATTCACTCACCAGTTTCTTGATTAAAATACCACGTCTTGTAGAAACATGAGTTTCTGAAACTCCATACTGTAGAGTTTTCTCTCCGTGAGGAATGAGTGGAACAGCTCTCGAGTCACTTCAAAAAGAGCAAATGACATGCATAAATTCAATTACTAGACATAGGATATTGTTGCGTATTTGCTCTTCTCCTCCCCCTCAACCAACTTCGTATACGATCGTCTCTTTCTTTCTCAATATTCTTTTATCTTCATATCCAGTCCGCGGACGAGGCATTCCTTTTTGTATTTTTTTTTTGTCCAAAATCTTTAATAAACAGTTATTTATTTATTAAATGTACCTATTCTTTACAATATATTTTTGTCTGGAATAAAAGACGGGACAGGAAATTTATCATTATATATTTTTCCCCAAGTCTGGGTTTCGGTATGAGATTTCCCTCACATATATGACATTAATTATGCACCCAATATTACTTTTTTCATGCCCAGTAGATCGCTCCCGAATTTTCTACCATCGTTACATAGAAGAATCCTTAACAATATCGTTGAGTATTCGTTCACCTATGAGTACATCTCTACACCGACCATGCCTTCAATGGAATTTATGTATGGAAATATCCGCCTGAAGTGTCACACATGTGAATATAACGCGTAGTAGTTGAAGGAGCCTATACTATTGACGATACTTGCTACGAAAATATATTTTGCCACTGGGCTATAACACGATCGCTGCGATGGCGTAAAATATATTCTTCGGCCTGATTCCTTCGAGGTTGGCGACAGCCGACCATTCTAAGACATATTTCTTGAATAGGAAGAATACGTAGAAATTTTTTTTATATGATACGTGCGTGTAACCGCATGGGTTTCAGTTGACTATAGTCAACTGAAACCCGAAATAACGCATGACGCGCATGCGCATCACCTATTAAAAGAGAATAACAAGGAAGGAAATCTAACCTGCGAATAGTGAATACATGGAATGACTGAAAAATAAAAAGGTGATTTTCGAAGCAGATAAAATGAGCCAAAATCGTATAATTCCTGATAGTGATGAAGAGTTAGGCAGTGAGGAGAATTTATTTACTGATGAGGAGGAGTTTATTGGTGATGTGACATTTGAAGAAAATGGAAATAAAATATTCTCCGATTTTTCAATTACGTTTTGTATCATATTTTTTTATAATTATAACTTTCTTTTTTTTGCGAATTCTCGACGATTTTTAAAAATTGTATTTTGTAATTATTATAATTCTTTTTTTTTTTCAATTAAAAATACTTTACAAGTTTTTTGAACTACATATTTAATGAATATAATTAATTTTTTCTTCAGAAGTTCC